GGGGGGGTGGGGTGGGGGGGGAATTTGGGCGTGCGGCGGTTGGGGAGAGGAGCAGGGGGAGGGGTATGAGGGTGTGAAGATGCATGCATGTATGTGTGTGTTTGTGCGCACGTGTTGACGACAATGTATGCAGGAAACATGACCATGCCTGGCAAGAGAGGGCTCAAGGCAGGCGGCAGGCGATGTACCGGGCGCTGCTGCCTGTTTGCCGCGCTGCCACGCTGCCTGTTGAACTGGTGCCCCCCGGCCTCACGACTGGCTGCTTTGAACCCCTGCCGAGCACCCCCACCCCCAAACCCTTGACGCCGTTCCCCTCCACAGGGACACCTGCGCCACCCTGCTGCGCGACCCGTCGCCGCGCCACCCCCCTCCCAGCCTCCGTCCCACCCTACCCCGTGATACTCTATTGAACCCTGCAAACGGGCGCCGCCGCCGCCCCACCCGACGCCAAGCTCCAGGTCAGCCGCCCCTCGTCACCCTCGACACCCTCGACACCCCCCCCCTCCCGGGAGCCCCTGGGGCCACCCACCCCTTGCTGTTGCCTGTCTCCTTGTCCTTGATGACCTCCAGGATCCTGATGGCACCAAACGACTGCAGCAGCTCACGCACCTGGGGCCGTACGGGAGGGGGGGGAGGAGAGAGAGTGTGTGTGATTTCGCGAGTTGATATTTTGATTGTGTGTGTGAGGGTGGGGAGGAGGCGCGGGGTGCCCGTTGGTCGGGGGGCGGGGTGCAGCGTCCACGGCGTCGCAGAGCAGTTGGCCGCGGCCCGGCCGATCGTGCGCACTGCCGACCAGCCTATTGGGAGCGGACGCCTCTTGAGACCGCAGACCGACCTGCCCCACAAAGGTCAAGTGATTTGGCGCTCCGCAAGATATCACGAGATATTACACAAGATAGTCTTATACGAGATCCTACAGCGCCCCACACCTGGTCCTCTGTAAGGTAGTGTGGCAGGCCGCCAATAAATATCCTGTTGGGGTCGTCGTGGTGGCCGCCGCCCCCGCCGGTAGCCGCGCCCCCCGCGCCCAGCCCCGGCACCGCGGCCGCCGCCGCGTGGCTGCCCAGGCCGATGGCGGCCAGGTTGAGGTTGGGGTCGGGCTGGCTGTTGCCGAGGCCGACAGCTGTGTGGGGGTAAGCAAAGGGGGCAGGAGGGGGGGCTCGGGCGGCAGTGGCGGGCACAGGGGCCCCACAGCGGCGGCGGCGATTGCAAGGGCCGGCGGCCACAGGGGGACAGGGGCCGGCAGCGGCGGGGGGCCCTCTTTGGTGCCGCCGGACGGCCCGTCCAGCCAGCAGGCCCTGGCAACCCCGGCTGCAGCCCTGGTTGGCCTGGCTTTCTGTGTGGCGGTCATGTGGCCACCAGCAGGCTGGCACTGGCCCCTGTCAACATGCGGCACCAGACAGCTTGAAGCCCTGAACCGCGCATGCGGGCGCGCGCACGCGCACAAACACACACACACACACACACACACACACACACACACTCTCTCTCTGTCTCTCTCTTCGTATCACACACACGCGATACTCACTCAAAAACTCACACACTCGAGACACACACTGACACCCATGCCGGCGCATGCAACAAGGCGCAGGAGGTCACACACAGCGCAGCGGTCAAACTCACCCGCCGCGGCGTTGTAGTCGTTGGGGCGCCGCACCCTGACGCCCACGCCGTCGTACATGATGCCGTCCAGGGCCATCGCGTTGGACGTCTCCTCGACTTCCGGTTGGGAGTGGGGGGGAGGGGGGGGGGAGCGCGGCAGAGGGGCGGCGTGCAGTGTTGAGGGCACTTGTGTGTGGGACCGGCGTGAGGGGGGCGCTGGAGCGGCCGACCCCCGCCGCAAGGGACCCTGGGTCCTCGACGCGCGGCCGCGCATACAGAGCCAGGACCTGGGCCTGTATTTGGTCCACACATGCGCTGTGAGCTGATCATGCGCGTCCCCATCCACGCGCGCTTCAAGGCTCTGGCCCTTCCCGCGCCTCACCCGTCCTGAACTCCACAAAGGCAAAGTTCTTCTCCCTGTTGTGGTAAACGTTGAGCACAGCGCTGCCTGCGGGGCGCCGCAAACTAGGGTGTCAGGGCCGGGCGGCCGGGCGGCGTGCGGCGGCGCGCGAGGCGCTGCGACGGCGCGCGGCGGCGGGTCGCCGCGCTGCGGTGCGCAGCGGGGCGGATGCGAGGGGAGCGAGGAAGGGCAGGGGCAGGGGCAAGGAGAAAGGGGCGGCAGGGGAAGGGGG